TCGCAGCCAAGATACCGGTAGAACCGGCTTGGCTGAAATCATCATCAGTTGAATAATCCGTTATTGCCTAAGCATGTTTTCAATTGGAACTTGTATGGCCATATACATGTTAGTCATGTTTTAGAAGGCCACTTACTACACATCTATTGGCTCAAATTCCTTTGCCTTTAAATATACCGTTGCATCTGTTGCTGTGGAGAGAAAATATCGATGTGATCCTGTTGACTAAACGGGGTTTTTCTAAACTGCAGCGTTGAGTCAGATGCGCGCATTTTTCGCAAAACTCCTAATCGGATCGCTGAAGCAGATGATGCTGAAAACGCTTCCTGCGAGATGAATAACCAGAGGCTAAAACTGGCAAAATTTTAGCTAAGCATAAAATTTGCATCCATACATAAATAAAAATACACATCCGCAAATATCCATTCATTCAAGTATTTGCATGAAACGTGTTTGAAACCTGTATAGGTTCAATCAGAATCGGTTTTATGGTAGGTATGAATAATCAATAAATTTAGTTAGATTTATGAGGCATTTTTGTCGATTGTTGTAAATTCTCAAGGTCTGTGAGTGCCAATTATTCACTTCTTCCATAGGTATCCTAAAAAATTACACCAAGTCTTCCGTATTCGATTAAGATAATTAGCGCTCTTTCAATGGTGTTTTGAAGAAACCGCTCCACGTTGCTTCAGCTGGAAGCTTCGTGAAATGTTTCATTTTATTTTCTGTTAAATCTGAAATAGGTATTAATAGGTACCTATCTAGATACTTCAGTTTCAACAGGTTTTTTGGTTCTCGAATTTATTGGTCTTTAACCATTAAGAAATTTGACATCGTTCTGTTAGGCGTATATTTGGTGAATTCCAGCTAGTCCCCCATCCAAGTGTTATGATCAATCAATCTTAAGTGGCACTTAGTTGCAAGTTGGCACACATGCAATTATACATTGCTAAACAAGCGTGCATAATTATAAAATTCATCAAACTTATTAAAGTCAATAATTAGATATGATTATGATTGCGCTTGAATTTTTCTGAAGTCAGCATTAAATGCATGCTGATGTTGATTCGATCAACAGTGCATCATCACATCAGCTTCCAAACTAATAAATCATTTAGACGGACGGAAAACAGCGAAATTAAAGTGCGGTAAACATGATGTTTAATGCAAACTAAGTATGCATTACATGGGCAAATTTCTGCAGTAAATGATGCAATTGCTTGCATAATGCATTTCCGAATTTATTAATTTTATGCGGTAGCATGCGATCAAAAATATGATTTGTTTCCATTGTTTTCGCTAATTCCTCACCAAAGGTAGACAAATAAGAAACGTCATCAATAAAATAAAATTTTCGAATGCACGCGCTATCGGTAAACACGCTGATTACAGTTAATCAAAATGAACTACTTGGAAAAATCATGAAATCATTGCTATACCTAGTAGTAAATACACATAAATGCGAATCTTCACCTTGCTTTTCGCAAACATGTCAACACATAAATGTTTATCGATAAATGCATTCTTTTGAACACCATGCTGGTTGATAAAGGCCAAGGTCGAAACATAAAACCATATTATTGTAGCATCAAAAATGCCACTAGTTTATCAAATGCAAATGTTTTGCTCGGTTGAGGAGTTTAGCATGACTTTCAAAAGTCAAAGGTTGCCGTTGTCGAATTGGCTACATTGTTTCTTTTTGCATCAGCTGAAAGCTCTCATCTATTTACTGCAATCCAATATCCTCACTCACACATAAATCTCCAATCTAGCAGTTCTCCCCTATGAAAGTTATGCATACTAAACAGCAACTTCCACGATTCGCATTTGAATGCAAGGGACTAGGTAAATTACTTCGGTATAAAATCAGCGCCTGAGGGTCTTCTGCAGCAAATTTCTATGCAAACCGCGCAATTTATTTATCCTGCGATCCCTCCTCAAAATTGTCCTTCCAGCCTCCCAAAGCCGAATTAAAGACACGCTTCACCCTTGCGGATGAATGTTGTGTCAGCAACCGTTGGATTACTGCCGATTTTTCTATGCAACCTTGTCTTTTGCAGGAATGACAATTTCTTACGCTTTTGGAGTATAATATGAGTAAAAGTTATGCGAAAAAAAAATATACTTTTGAATCGAGTGTCTATCTGTTTGAGCATTGGGAATCGGAATTTCTACAAACCAAAAAATGAGCAAAGAAGTAGCATCAAAGGGATATATTTTAATGTCGCATATATTTCTTAGCTTGTGGCATTTGTATGAAAATTACCCCGGGTTTTTCAAAAAAAGGTAATTTTTGAAGGATTTCATAATAATGTTTCCAAAAATGCAGCTTTACGTTCTGTAAACGTAAAGTTGAGCAACGTTGCTTTTTGTAGGAATTCCTTTTTTTGCGCTTTTGAAATATCATGTGAAGAAACTTATGCGAAGATATTTTTTGTATTCAGATTTTTCATTTGTTTGAGAAATTCAATCCGGAATTGCTCCAAATAAAAAAAAATGAGCAGAGCAGCAAAGCTTCAATGCTGACTCTCTCCCAGCTTGTGACATTTACATGAAAATTACTGAATTTCTCCAAAAGTAGGTCGTTTTGTGGAAGGCTTTTGATCGTAATGTTTACAGACTTGTTTTAGTCTTTTGAAGTTTAATATAAGTGAAACTTCTGCGAAAGGTAATTTTTTATTGGATTTCTTTATCAGTTAGAACATGTCGAAATGGCATTTCTACAAAAAAAAATCGAATGAACAAAGCAGCAGCAAAGATATATTTTAATGCTGAAACTGTTTCTTCGCGTGTGGCATTTGATAGAAAATTACTGCGATTTTTCCAAAAACCGGTTGTATTTGCCGGAAAAATGTTTTGAAGCTATTGATCATAATGTTTCGAGAACTTCTGAAAAATGTAGATCTATGTACAGTTTTCTAGTAGGTTTTTCACACGCCAAATAAAATAATGTTGTTTTTTGAAAGAATTACTTTTTTACGCGGTTTTCAAATTTAATTTAAGAAACTCAGCGATAGGTAATGTCTGTATTGGATTTCTGTATCAGTTTGAGCATGTGGAATTGAAATTTCTACAAACAAAAATACAATGAGCCAAGCAACAGCAAAGATTTATTTTTCTGTTGAATATTCTTCTTAGCTTGTGGCATTTGCAGGAAAATTACTGCATTTTTTCAAAAGTAGATCATTTTGTAGGAAAGTTTTTTTGAAGGCTTTTGATCGTAATGTTTCGAAAACTTCTCAAAAATGTATGTTTATGTTCAATTTTCCCCTTGTTATTCACTAACGTCAACTAGACTAACGTCGGTTTTTGTAGGAATTACAGTCTTGTTTTAGTCTTTTGAGGGTTAATATAACTGAAACTCCCGCGGAAATTAATTTTTGCATTGAATTTCTTTATCAGTTTGAGTGTACCGAATTGGAATTTCTACAAACAAAAATGAAATGCGCTATGCAGCAGCAAAGATACATTTTACTAACGAATAAACTTGTGGCATTTGCATGAAAATCACTGAGTTTTTTTCCAAATAATGCTTGTTTTTGCAGCAAGAGGCTTTTGATCTTCATGCTTCCAAAACTGCAGGTGGGTCAGTTTGGGCATGTGGAATTGAAACTTCTACAAATTAAATGAGGAGAGCAGCAGTAAAATTATATTTTATTGTTTTATTGCTGACTATTTTCCTTAGCTTGTGGCACTTGGACAAAAATTACTGCGGTTTTTGAAAAGAAGGTCGTTTTTGCAGGATTTTTTTGTGCAGGTTTGTGCAAATTATGCAGGAATAAAAATTTTTGTACACCGATACCAAACAGACGGTACAATAATAGATTAAACCTGCTGGTTCAATCCTGCGGTCCGGTTTTGGCGACTTTTCCGTTGTTGCGCCTCAAAACAAGGAGAGACTCCTTGCAGTTCCTGCTGATAATTGCGGTGAATTCGAAATGTGACAACCTCGATCCGAACTAACCTTGTAAAGTTTAAATGCGGCGTACGACGCGCGAACGTGCACCATGAATTACGTAATAAAAATAATTCTCGATGCGAATTTCGTGGTCCCCCCGTCCCTAGCCCCTTGATTTTGGCAATACCCGCAGAGCATTAGAAGAGTTTGCCACGTTGCCGCAGCCGGCCAGTTTTCCCTAATAGAGGGAAACCGCCAAACTGTGGATTGACTGTTATACAAATAATGTAAATTTTGAATACATAGACGAACAATAGTTGCCTTATTAGTTGCTAATGGGTTTTGCAATATTTGGTAAAACAAGCTGGTATTGTCTGGGTTATGAGCCTGTGTTTATTTTGCCTGGAAATCAGATTTTACATAGAGATGAGACGTGTAAACGGAGTTACTGTTAGCGGTTGCCTCTTTTATCAAAATTTTCACTTATTGTGCCTTGTAGCCAAACTAATTGGGTATTGTGGCAGTATAAGGTAGACACAACTTATCGCCTATATAAAATCAAACATTTACTTTCAAAAGCGTTTTAAGCATGGCTTATTCAAAAGCTAAACAAAAAGAGTGTCGAAAATTAATGAATCTGAAGATTTACAATAAAATTAAGCAACTAAAACTACATTTCATTCGAATTCATTCGAAATTCGAATCAAGTTTTGTCAAGTCAAAACCGACAATCGACTTTTTTAACTTCTCTTAAAGAAGAATGCTTTTTATGTTCAATATTACGCAAACCACTCTTTATATATCGGTGTATCCGCTTGAAAACTTTGTGCCAAAAGTGAAGATAAGACATAATCTCAAGATCAACTTTGAAAGGTGAATCGATGTCAAGGGTAAAATGGTGTAATCATATTTACGATAAAAAAAATCGTGATTTTGAAATTGTTAACGTTAAACAAACAGGCACTCGAAGCTTTTTTTGGGTCTTAGAAAGTGATTTAGTTTTATCTCCATCAGTTTGGTGAGTGGTATGATTAGAGCTCGATTGCATTTTGATAGGACAAATCCTTGTAATCACGGACTACGTTTTAAAATAAACAGCAAAAAATTTGAAGAGTTTTACTCACGGAATGTAGCGCCTTATTTTAAATGATCACAGAAAGATAAATGAGTTGCTGTTGCAATTTTTCTTGCTGGACAGTTGTGGGCTATTGTCCCATGGTTTACAAAATGCTAAAACTTTAGTTTTCTAAGGCTAAGAATTGATACTGATTGAACTTGATGTTCTTGCCCAAAATAGCCTTAGCCCGATACAAAATATTAAGTGACACGTTAATTTTTAGTGACATTTTACTTTACTTTACCACTGATTTTTATACAATAAAAGATCTACTTCCCCTACTTAATCGTTCGTTTGTGTTGCTTTGTGGTCCTTAGGGAATAGCTGCTTTCAAGCTTGTTATTCCGATTGTTCAATGGTTTAATTGGCACTTGTGATTTCAAATTATATTTGTGTTCTCTTTTTCTGTGCCTTTTTTATATTTTTCAAGCGTTTATTACGCTATTATTAGGTTTGCACTTGATGTTTATGTGATTTAAACTGTGCTCAAAAATCACCTAGAGCTGATGTTGAATCTTAAACTTTATAGACGATCTAAGACGAAAATTCGATATACAGGGTTGCTCAAAAAATTACCCAAATCAGAGCTGCGCCCAAAGTATGTGAGTCTAGAAATTAACTTTCAAATATTTGGTTCAATCGCACAACTCGGTATATTGAATTAGTATCTTCTCGTATAGTATAGTATGAACTTTTTGCTTCAACATAAACCCTAGATTTTGAAACAGGTTCAAAATAGAAAAATTATCACTGAAAGAGTAAAAAGCCGATTTTTCTCAAGACCACTGTAGATCAACGAGATGAGCGAAAAATTCAAAAACATTTTGCGTATGAGGTTTAGGTCTGGTATTCACTAGGAGTAATCGACATTAATTATATGGAAAATGGTAAAACTATTACATGTGCATATTAGTCATCGTTATTGGACCGTTTGCAAGCCGAGCTGCAAGAAAAACGTCAATAATTCGCCCACAAAAAGTCCTTGTCGGTCGATGATAGCGCGCCAGCTCACACCACAGCAGTTGTGCCAGCAAAACTGATGAAAGTTCCACATTCTCAAGATTTGTCTCCCTCGTACTATTTTTGTTCCCCAATTTGAAAAAACTGGAAAAATATTTTATTCAGACGAGGAGGTGATTGCAGAAACGAATGCCTATTTTACATATCGTATTATACGGAAGAGATCAACAAACTAGAGCATCGTTGGACGAAGTGTATTAGTCTAGAAAGAGATTATGTTAAAAAATAAAAATTAAGTAGTTTTCGTAGTAATATATGTTGTTCAATTGTGAAATATTGAAGCGGTTTCAGTTTATGAATAGAGGATTATTGATATGTGGCCATTGTCTAGAAAAATGTGAAAATAATGCACACAAGTAGGTGGGATCAGCGATATAACATTAATGCTACCTAACGTAAGGCTGATAAATGGAAATTGTGACACGTGTGCACGATAACGAGGTTTGCCATTAAACCAATTAATAATTGCAGTGCAAAGTACTCACATTTATCTAAACTCCAATACAATATAACATACAAAATTAAGCAAATATTACAGATTGGCGTCACTCCCAAATTACGTTGATGAAAAATGCGCCGGATTTATGCAATTCACTGCAATAATAAACATATTGCACTACTTATTAGCGAACATACATAACAGATAAAAGTTAGTAACAATGTAATTATCTGAAGCTATTTCGTTCACGTGATCGATGCATCCTTATCGTCGTTTATATAAATTGAGTAAAGAATAAAAATATCTCTCAATTTGATCCTGGTCCAATAAACAGGAATACGTTTCACACACGATATCGGTTAATTTGTTGCATGGCTGTAACCAGCGTCTCGTCCCAGTTGTTTATCTAATGTTAATATTGTTCAGATAAAAAAAAATCTACGTTTAAATTTGGCAACGGTGGGGCCAAACATTTGGCGATTCGACTTTTTTCCTGGTTGCCAGAATTAGGCGGCCTGCAAAAATATACACAAGTGCAATTTGTGCGTGTTTTCAATATTGCGATTTGAAGTGTAGAAAATTGCTCTCGTTAGATGCGCGTTTTTTCTTTTTTGACATTCGAAAAATTCGATCGGCTCCACCTGTTTGAGAACGTAATGTAATTGCCAGCATTGCATTGGATTCAAAAACATTAACATTGTGCGTGTTCTTCACTGAGGTGAGTTTAAGGACTACTGAGTTGGTAACCTACAATGGAAATGCGCGGTAAGTACGTCAGATTACATCCATAGCGCGTACATTCCTGCAATTATTCAGATATTGCATAAATCCGCACGCTTTCAGCAAGTGCACGAAGGGATTTTAAAGAGCAGGAAGTCTGACGTTCGCGTATTCAGTAGCAAATAAAATTCTTGAAAAATTTACCGCTGTACGGTTATAAATTGCACACATTTTTCCAACAGGTTTTTATGCACCAAATAAATCCGATTGAATGCACTGAATTTAAAGTTTCCAAACCATTCTCCACACGATTTTCAATCATAGATTGGGTGCACTTTCGTCGATATTTTTCGCAAACTATTGCATTTCATACATTTTTCAAATTGGGGAAAAAAAAGTGATAAAAAGCAATAAATCAAACGACACGACCCAAATGTGGCACATCATTAATGTCATTAAAATGCATGCTGTTTTATCCATTAGCGATAAAATATCAAGGGGATAATAATATTTATTTTAGAATATGCGCTCAGAAATCAGCAAGTTGTTTTTGGAGAGTCCAAATAAAGCATGCATTTTTGGCTGTTTATTTAGTTTTATATTTTTTGGTGATATTATGAAGATTCAGTTGGTGGCAATGGAACCTCAAATTTTTTCGAAACATTTTCATCAGACGGTTATTTTCCATTTTCGAAAGTAGAAATAACTCAAAGGCAACCTCAATCTCCATTCGACTATGTTGAAAGTTCAGTCGCTGTTTATAAAATTCCGGCAGAATCAATCGATTTCGCTTAGTTTTAGAAAATTGATTGACGTTGGAAATGTTTGGATCATCAAACCAACCGAAATTCAGGAAAGTGAATGTGCTTAAGTGTAAAAACACAGAATTAAATTAAAGAAACTGAAATTTCAAAAATTACTTATTTAATTAGAAAATGTTAAATGTAGCAAAACTATTGAAAATGCATAAGAATTATTTGAAGTTGGCTATCGCACAAGCTGCAGAAATTAATTTTTTCAACAAAGAGTTTGTATACTCTTTTCTGTATTTGCACGAAAATGGACCTAAATTTAATCTACATTGTGTCTAAATTTAAGTATTTAAGTCAGCATGGAATAGCTATTTATATGCTAGACTTTACAATAATTACCAGATGAATTGCACGAATTGGAAGTCAAACCCTTTAATAAACAAGCTTTAAAACCATTTACACTGTAAATGAATTTCTTGAAAATAATTAATTCTACCACTTTAATTTAAACGTTAAATGTATTTTGTGTCATTTTTTATTGTATTTTATAAATAACAATTGTGCTTTTGACGTGTCATACATTCTAATCAATGTTTAAAGACAAAATAAAGTTATGTTCTATTCATAAGAAAATTAACAAAATATGGCGGATTGGCACTCCGCTACTGCAATATTAAAAATCGAATTTAACAGCTGTAATTAATGGGAATTGCTTGCTTGCATCAAACTTGAATTGTCTGTTCTAAATCACATTGGCCTTCGTTGGAATGATTGCGAATTTTTCATCTCATCGTATTCACAGCCTTTTGTTTATAATTTGCATTTAGAACCGTTTCGGATTCATTAGTGATGCCGTACGTTTATTCAGGGTCCATGATCCAAAATTCATTCGAAGTTGCCCAATTTGTTTGCCTTGGGGCTGACAATATTCAGTAAACCCCGTTAAGGGTGCAGATATTTATAAAAAAATTACTCCTGCATTCTGATGACGATTATGAGTTGATTAAAACGAATGTGCTCGTGTCGATGACGTTCGAGGCTTTTAATTTTTGTGTAAATGCACACGTAAAAATTGGCGCATGCAATAAAGTCGTAGATCAACAATAGGAATATAAATGATTACCTTCTGGCAGTTTATTTTAGCGACAATGAGTTTTGCATGTAGAAAGGCTTAACTCGATAGCCCAACAGCAAACATTGGAATTAAATTGCATGAAAATGTAGTGAAAAAATACGAAAGTCATCATGAAAAATTTATCCATTATTTTCCAAGGCTCTGCGGCAAATTGATTGGCTGTTGCTAAAATTTCATTGGCTCTATTCTGCTCACGTAAGTTTCTCATTCTAATGCACTCAATCTAAAGTGCACGCCTTGTTCCTCTCAAACTACTGCCGAAAGCATTAGCTGGCTTCAATACTTGTTTTACATGAGGATGTTTCAAGATTGTTTGTATGTATTTTCTGGCTTCTTATCTCGAATGATTCAAAGTGCAGTCCAACCACCACTAATTATGCAACATTCCAACCAATACCCTTGATTCTGGAACCTCCCATTTTATCATTGTGGTAATTTGATACAACCGCTTTCCAGCAAACCAGGAACTATTTTCGGCAGTGTTTTTTTCGGTCGAGGCAACTAAATGCAATAGCTAGATAATAGGCCAGCGTCACTCTCCCATCAAGGTTTCAGTGTTTCGCTTTGTCGTTGTTATCCTTGAAAGCGCATTACCGGATGGCAGGATTTGTACGCACATTAAAATGTAAAATGAAGCAATAATAAACACCTTAGTATAACGAATCGAGTCATGTTTGTTTTCGCACTGTTTAAGTACACGAAAATTAACTGTGAATCGAATTGGTGATTGGGAAAACTGGATGTTTCCATATGGAGAATGGCTAGAAATCAACAGTTTCCGTTCGGGTCAATTAATTCAATTAGTGAGCAGAAAAATCGTTCAGAAACAGTTAATTGAATCAAGCACTGTTTAACTTCAACTTAATGAGCAGCGGCAGTTTTAGACTGCTGGCATTAATTGGATTGGCTGATTGGTGGATTTTTCAATTTAAAAAGTTTTGAGTTGCACAATAAAATTCACGCGACTAAACCTTGCAATGTTTGTGCTAGAGAAACACTTCACTTATTTTCTTATTTTCCAGTAAACTTAGAAATTCAATTTGCCTATGTATTCAGCTTTTTGTATTTATTCAAATACTCTAACATATATTAATTTATTATTTCAATTAGCCACTTGCTACCATGAGACTGGATGTGTTTTAAAGCAATTATATGCTTCCATACGTTAAGTTGCGGTTAAATTTTTGGTAATTAATCATCCGTCTTAACAAACCGTGGATATTCGCGAATAAAACGTCATATTCCCATATAACATTGATGTAATAGATGCCCATTTATTGCCGGCCATTGACCATGTGGCCAACCCACGTATGAAAGTAATACAGTCAATTATAATTGGTTTTAGTAGATGAAATTGTCACATTCTTCAATGTTCGCTTATTAAAAGCGTCTTTGGTTCAAAACACTTTGAGTATACAAAACATTCTGGGCGTGTAATAAAATGCATCTTCTGCCTCAGTCGGACGTTTAAGTTTCAAGCGAAAAACATGTTTGAGTGTCAATTTATGTATGATCAAACACTTCAATTGCATATTGAGAGGCAACTAGTTCACCTCCCGCTCGAAGGACCAAAGTGTTGCGTTCGGTGGGCTTTTGCCCGAAGTTTTCTGTTCTGCGCGTGGATGCTTGGAACTGCGTTAACTAGTTTATTTTTTATTTTTGTACTTAATCATTGTGAGTATGGATTTCCTTAAATGTGTTAAACACTTCAAAAGATCTTTTCCCAAGTAAAGTGAACAACAAATACACGACAAAACCTTTATTAGGTGTATAGGGATAGCAAAAATAAAAGAAAAAAACATAAATGACAGTCAGTTTCAATATTGATAGAAAAATAAAACATCAATTGCTATAAATATAAGGGATTTAGTTCTCATAAATTTCTACCCGCTTATGATCCTCCGGAAGTTGACGAACTAGGAAATACCAACAAAAAAAGTTGGCTTTTTAAACCTGCATTGAGCAGGGCAAATGACTTTGTAAGCTGCTGATTCATACTGAAAATATCCGCAAGTTTCTAAGCACATTCGGCAGCTTCCTAGATGGACGGTTTGCACGCTAACAAAGCCACCGATTTTTTGCCCCCCTGGCAACGTTTGGGCAGGAACCATTAGAGCGGTGCTAATTTTAAACTCGGTTGCTAATAAAACGCAATAACATTATGCAATCACGCCAGAGGTTAATGGTATCTTCAATGCCAAACCTCCTACTCTGCAGCTTGCAAATTTTACTTACAGATTGGGTACGGTTCGTTGAACAGCTTTCCTATAATTGTATGAGATTCATACAGTCACCTCTAAGGAAGAGGAAAATTTGTTTTTTGTGTTCCACGTCGCAATAAAATATTTATGAGTTTTATACGCACATCGATCGCCCATTGTCTTCGAGATTGATTGATGCCATACTTCAGCAGTATTTGTTTAACATGTTTATTGCCAGGTATAATGAAAAAATCAATTTTCGGGGCTTTTTTGGGGATTTGAATATCAATGTTCCTAGTTTTACTCCTCCATTCCACATCTGAAAATCTGATGTTGAGAATCGTACGCTTATTAAAAGTTAGTAATAATATACTCTTTTCTTTTCACCAATTTTCCAATCCAGTTTCAAACAGAGTAAACTAGCGAATTGCGGTCGAGTCAGCATAACTATTGAAGTAGATTGTATAAAGATTTATACAAAATGTTTGCTCATAAATTTCAGGAATACATAATACGGGTTTGTGAGACGTTTACGCGTCAAATTGTAAATATTTTATTAGGTGTTTACTACAAGATGTAAATAGATCCGCAAACAATATCGGGTTAAAACTATGAAAAATGGGTCTAGACTACGAAACCATTTGATTTTCAAATCGGGTCGTATGGAACATCCATGGTTGACTGGAATTTTGTGATAAACCTAACAAGATCAAGAACCAGTAGGTATTTACAGGGAAATTAAAGTTCTACAGTTGGGTCTTTAAAAAAAATTGTTTTTAGTTCTACAGACAGATATAAAAAGAAATAGAAAGCACACTAAAAGTGTGGCTTTTTAAAATAATTTTGATGTAAAAAAATCTGGAGAATACGTTTAGGTTGCTGTAAACTTGAAATATTTAATATTCTTAAACATTAAGGCGAAATTGATATAATTTGCTAACAAACCAGAACTCTATGGTTTAAAAGAAGACAATCTGACCTAACATTTTTAGGTAAGTAAAACGTATATGGCTCCTCTGCTACCGATTGTCAAAGTTCTTGCTTTGGAAAAAAAATCTTCAGAGAAAATATGGTTTTTGTATTATCCTGAGTGTCTTGGTACCAAAACTGGCAGAACTTCATTGTTGTTGATCCTTTTTTTTTTTCATATTTTGAAAACAATTTTTTTTCATATTTTGCTTCTCATTCAAAACGAGATGAGCTTAATACCGATTCAGAACACTTGAGTGGGTGGGCTCGATTCAATTTCAATCGGAGGATCCAACTATGCATTCAATAAGATTTTTAGTTTTTCAGTTTTGTAAAAATTTGGATATTAAACCTCGCAAGGTGCATGTTTGAATTCTCCAGGCTGCTACAGTTTAGCGGCATTGCTCCAAATTGTAGTTTGCACAAACCGACGTAAAAAAAATCCAAAAATACATTCGCTCAAATCGTGCGGATTCATTAATCTATTTTCTCCACGTGAAATATTTTAAAGGTTTTTATAATATTTACGTTCCTGACGGTATATGCCAAATCGTATTTTTGGAACAAGGAAAAAATCGAGATATTGTGTTATAATAACGATGCCCCGGCACGATATGGCAAAACTTTAAATAACTGGTATGATATGGTTCAGTTGGTTGTTGGTTTAAGCCATTTATTTTCACATACATGAAGGTGAACGGGTTTTTTCAAGAAGCTGCAAGTTGCACTTGAATGGGCAACTCACAACGATGCTTTTTACCGGAGGAACCGTGAAATTTGTGGCTGATTAAGCGAACACGTTTCCCATAATTGGTGTGAACTCAAGCAATGAGATAGAGAATCCCCCAACAAATACTTTATCTAAGACCGAAATTGCTGGATTTTCCCGAATTGCCGAACAATGACAGTAATGACTCAGGTGAATTGAGATCACAATGTTTGAGGAAGTGGAATTCGAAAATTTGCAATTTTGCCACTAGGTTTGGTGATAAAATATTAACCGTTGCAAAGTTAATTGGCACCGTTCCGGGGGATCATTAAATGAGCTTAATAAGCTGACAGGGGGCGACTGTCTCCTAATTATCAAATTCACCGAATTTGGTGGAAATTGGCCTTTCCTAAAATATGTACATTTTCTCCCTCTATGGAAGACGCTTGAGTCAATATCGCCTCAAACCTCAAATTGTGATTTTTGCGCGCTTGGTAATCGTTGATCTAAAAATGGTGCATTGACGCAACTGCACTATCTCCAATAAAAATTCGTAACTTCCAGTCTAGACCATATAGGAGCTTGAATTTTTCTCAGTCTATTGAAGACACTTGCATTTAAATAATCACGATATTTCATTCAAATTACATCAACTGATGATTTTTGAAGGCTCTCCGAATGTTGGTCCAAAAATGAATGTGTTTTCCTATATGCAGCCTAGTCAATAAAAATTGGAAACTTCTAATCTAGACCATGTTAGCAACTTGAATTTTTCCTGATCCTGATATAGAAGACACTCGAATGTAACCAACTTGATAATCTCATTTAAATCGCACAGGATTTTAATTTTTACGCTTGTTTTAAATGCTGGTGAAAAAATGGAAGTTTTAACGCATCTGCAGGGCCTTCAATAAACATTCCCAACTTCTAATCTAGAACATGTAGCAACTTGAAGTTATAACATGTAGCAAGTTTTCTTAATCTGTAGAACACTCGCATTTAACTGGGAACTTGAGAATCTCATTTAAATCCCGCAAGATGTTGATTTTGCGCTTGCTGTAAAGGCAGGTTTAAGAATGGGCGTTTTAATTCATAGCTAACTCACGGTCAACTTAATAGTTTTGCAGGGTTACATTTGGCAATGGAATTTTTTGGAAATGTTTGTCTTTCAAATGATTTTTCTCAATTATATGCATAAACAAGTATGTGAAGGTTGTTGAAATCTCTTATTTTGCTCAGTTCTAAATTGCAAGCTTTTGAGTGTTGACTGATAAAGCGCTGGATGAACAACACTTTGCTTTGTAAAACCCAAAGCAAGATAATAGCACCGAAATTGTAATTTGGCGTAAACAGTTGCCTCATCAGTAAACAGAAATTCTCATACGGATTAAGAAATATTGTTCCTGTTACATTGGGCAATATCCAAAAGTGCAATCGTATATAAATACTTAACATTGTTTTATTTGTAAAATTCCAAGTTGTTTGCTCAATTTTAACTTCATTATTATTATCATCATGTATTACTTTTGCAAGTAAATATAACCCATATTACGCACAGATTGGGCCCATTAACAGATCTAACACTGAATTTGTAGTAATCTGCGTTTATTCAATCCTCTAAACCAATTTATGTTTACATAATAAACTTCGATGTTATTCAATAAATAGCCGTTTGATAATTTGCATGGCAATTTCGCTCAAGTATATATATAGGGCGCTATCAAACTGTAAATATATCATTTTTAAACAGATATCGCAAATTTGTGGATTTTGCAAGCATTTCTCAGCGTAACATCCTTGTTGTGTCATTGACCCTCTATTAATATGCTAAAAATGTATGCAACATCATATGACGTTGGTTCATTTTAAGCAAATTTACCATTTGAATGCGATTCTTGCGGGTTTGCAAATGTTTTAACGAATATTTTCAATCATAATGTCCAGTTGCTAAATCCGTTTTGTCGCCAAAAAAACCAGAGGCCGAAACCCAAAAATTGATTGTTGATTAAATGGGCTGCTGAACATCAGAATTCAAATAAAATTCCTGCAAACTATAGTTTAGCAACGGCTTACAAGGTCGAAGAACAAAACGAGTGCTTGACCTCCACCTTAAACTTATAGGTTCTTTGTCCTTTTACCGAGCAGGAAGTTTTCGGTGTAATAAATTTAGAATAGATCAGTTTTTTCGCTACCTGAAATGAACTATGCAGGTAATTTTTCGCGCAAGTACCACAACCGTTAATGCTTGGGTCAATGTCAACGTATTTTTCCTGCTTTCGAATCAGATTCTATTCGGTATTTTTGTAGGGTTTCACAGCCGTTTCTTTTTTGTTATTTCAATTATGTGGACTTTTTGCTGTTTAATTAATTTTGTATAGGTAACATCAATCGCAAAATTATTCGCCGAAAAAAATCACATTCTATTGGCGAGTATAATTATGTTTCCAAACTCCAATAGCACAAAAAAAACTGCTAACGAACGCTCCTGGGAAGTGACGTAAATCCTATTTATAAAAAAACCGCCTAGCTCATTCTGACCGTAGAAATCATCTATTAGAAAATGCTAATGCAGGCCAATGCACTTTGGGAACCCATTCGAGTTTGTAGTCTGCTTTCAAGGCCAATAAAATATTTGCAAGCCTTTTGCGTTACGTTCTCTCTAGCAAAAACTAATGGTCGTTAATTCCTGGTTAGTCGCTTCGATTAGGTCCAAGTTCGCTTGAGTGCGGCGTAGGTTCTCACCGGGTTCCAAAAATTACTTTTTCTTGAAAGCCTTTTAGCCATCAGCCATACCGGCAATCGGGAGTTACCAACCTAGATTTCTTGAATCATTATTGCAAGCTTTATAACATCGGGTAATGTTTGTGAAGCAGCAGATTTAGAATTTTAACATCAAATTGTTAATGAATTTTTTGGCTAAAGCCTAAGACTTGCTGCGTTAAATTATTCACAATTTCCTTTCACTTCATAACTTCTTGGTGTATGATACACCGTTCATTTTATTGCGCCATTATTCCAGGATTTTCAACCAACTGAATCTACATCAGCAATTTTCCCATTATTAATCATTTTTAGCGGTAATTCGTAAATATTTATTCCACTGTGCACTAAACAAACAACCGATATTGCGTTGGATTAATTTTGCAAATATTGCGCAACCATGTGGTGAATTGTGCATTTGTGAAAATGAGGTAATTTCGCAGCTGCTAATGGATAAGCCAGGTATTTCCTGCCCGAAAACAAGCTAGGATGACTTTTACTACGCAAAGTAAATCTCAGGATTTTGGCAATTGTTGCAACAATCCGTCTGTTAACAACAAAAGGATTGAAAATTTGCTTTTAAAATTCAACAACGAAACAGTGTTCCAATTGTAAGTTATGTGTTGGATTATTGTTAGTTTGAGTGTCTCAAGCCAGTTTCAGCTGTTTTTATTTCCTTTTGTATTATTAATCAAGTTTGATAAGTTTTTTTTGTTGTGCTCGCAAAGATTTGTGGTTCAATCGAATTTAAAAGATACAATTTTCGTTAAATTTAATCACACGCAATTGAAGAGTAAAGTTGGCATTTTTAATCAACTTTTGTTAGTGCATTACTCTAGATGGAATGGTGAACGTAAATATTATGGCACTTGAAACAATCCTTGCGAGTAAATGAGATAATCATGTGTTGTGTAAACAATTTTTCTCACCCCGGCTGGATGCTTCGCTTTTTGCGTTTTTTTATTGTAAAATTTGATCAAATGATCAAGATTTATCAACAGTTAGATCTTCGCCGCCACTGCTTGATACTCGGAAGTTTTTAGAGCGTTTGGGCAAAAA